TTGCTTGCTTTTTCTTTCTTTCTTTCTTTCTTTCTTTCTTTCTTTCTTTCTTTCTTTCTTTCTTTCTTTCTTTCTTTCTTTCTTTCTCTTTCTTTCTCTCTCTCTTTCTTTCTTTCTTTCTTTCTTTCCTCTCTCTCTTTCTTTCTTTCTCTTTCTCTCTTTCTTTTCCTTCCTTCCTTCCTTCCTTCCTTCCTTCCTTCCTTCCTTCCTTCCTTCCTTCCTTCCTTCCTTCCTTTCTTTTTCTTTCCTCCTCCTCCTCCTTCTTCTTTTTTTTTGTTTTTTGAGACAGGGTTTCTATCTTTGTTATAGCCCTGACTGTCCTGGAACTTGCTTTGTAGACTAGGCTGGCCTTGAAGTCACAGAGATCCTCCTGCCTGTGCCTCCCAAGTGCTGGGATTAAAGGCATGTGCCACTGCTGCCTGGCTTCAGACTGTGCTTACTTTTTATTATTATTATTTTTTAATGGCTACAATAGACATTTATTTAAAGCGAGGCATCTGCAGAGCAAATAATTCTTAAATTGTGATTCAGGTTGAAACAACCTCATAAAAATATGCTCAGACCAGGCACATCCACAGATCTCAACTACAAGATCATTTCTTTGCCCATTCTTACTTCTCTTTCCCAAATAACCTCTTTCAGATAGGGTTCAAGGTATAATTTGTCCTCCTCATATTTTGTCCACTGTTCCTTAGGCAATATCTGATTCCTCCTGGTCAGGTCCAGGGCTCTATTAATTTGAAACATTCTGTCATTATAAAGATCCTCAGGAAGCCTTCTTATGGCTTCTTTCACATCTTCAGTCTTCACATATTGTATCATCTCGCATTACCCCCAGTTTGTTGAATCCTGCAGCATTATAATACCATTTTCGAAAGCATCCAGCCACTTGCTTGACACTGCATTAGCAGGTCTGCCCACCGTTTTGACCTGAGAGTCAGACTGTACTTTCTTATTTTCCAATCAAATGAGGTTACTGAAGCTAGCTCCCTGAAGTTCATCAAGTGTCTGGTCAGAACCAGTTCTTCAGTAGCCTTACTGCTCCTCTCCTAGAGTGGGATCTTCCCACCATGCAGCTCCTTCGTATTTCAGTGAGATCAGTCATGTTTCAAGAACATCTGTTTCCACATTGATTTAGAATTGACCCTCATAATTATTATGTATTCTTATGAAGTGATAGCCAGCACAGTAACGTAGCCTTACCTTTCCTGTACTATACACACTGTACTTCTTCCTACACATGCATACCTATGTAGTAAAGCTTGCAAGTTAGGATCAGTGAAAAATTAACTAACATTATACTGTAGTGTCCATTTTTCTCAAAATACCTTCCTGTACTTTTCACGGTTTTACTTACAGAGAGTGCTTTATAGCCTCTGATTGGTGTATCCCCCTTGTCAGCATCATCAGTCCTGTGCTCAGCACTGAGTAAAGGGTCATGGGCCAGGTGTGGTGGTTCCTTTATTTCCATCACTTTAGGGGCAGAGGCAGGTGGGACTCTGAGGGTTCTAGGGTATCAGTAAATTTCAGGTCATCCAGGACTGCAGAACTGAGACCCTGTCTCAAATAAATGAAGAAAGGATTGTGTGAGCATGTATTCAGTGAGTAGATGCTAGACAAAAAGATGACTCATGTCCCAGGTGGGATGGAGCAGGAGATGTGAAGTTTCTTCACACTTTTCAGAGTGGCATGAAATTAAAAACTTAGGAACTGTTAATTTTCACTTAATATTTTTAGACTACAGATGACAGTGGGTAACTAGTACCATGAAATATGAAAATGTAGGTAAGAAAAAACTACTGTTTTTTTCTTCTGCCAACCTCCAGAGCACATAGGATCAACAACAGTCAGAAATTCTGAATGTAATTTGATGGGTATGCCATTTGGGGATTTGATCTGAAATGAGCTTCCTTGGCAAAGCTGAGAAACACTTTGTAAAAGTAGCATTCATTCACTGCCTCATTCATTCCTTCAACATAGTTTTGAGCACATATTTTAGCAGGCCCTGCTCTGGGCTCCGGGGATCAGTAAGACAGGCGTTCTAGCTAGTGGAGATAATAATAGAGAATAAAACAACCGAGAATAATAATAAGGTATCTGGAAAGAGATACTTCAAGAAAAGGAGGAGGTGGGAAGGGTGGTGGTGTGCTGATTTGGAGGGAGTGATAAGGCAGTCTCTGAAGGGACAGCTGACTCTGTACCTGTGAGCTGTGAAGTACAGTTAGGCCTTGTGTGTTCAGGGTTGGCAGCAATAGATGGAAATGGAAGGCTCTGAGAGCAAGAGCATGGCAGGTTTTAATTACAGGAGCAGTGAGGAGTGAGGGCAAATGGTGGGGCAGAGGTGGAGGAGAGGCCCTGGCTGAGGGTGATGGGCTGAGGAGCAGGGAGGAAGGACCTTGCCAGATGTGTTTTGTGTTTTAGGATCCTGCCGAGAAGGATGATGATAATTTGTAAGTCTTTTAAAAAGACTTTATTTTATGTGTATGAATGTTGCCTGCATATATGTATATATGTACACCATGTGAGAGCAGTGTCTACAGACCAAAAGAAAGAAGTCTGGTCTTCTGGAATTCAAGTGGTGAACCTCCTTGATGGCGCTGGGGACCAAATTTGGGTCCTTAGGAGGAGGAGTAAGTGCTCTTGACTGTTAAGCCATCTTTCTAGCTTTTGTTTGTAAGGAGACAGGGTTTCATTATGTAGCCCTGGCTGTCCTGGAACTCACTGTATAGACCAGGCTGGCCTTAAACTCAGAGATTCACTTGTCTCTGCTTTCCAGGTACTGAAATGAAAGATGTAGGCCATTATGCCCAGCACTAATTTGTATTTGCAGCTTGATCATGTGGTACCAAGCATGTGTTCTAGTAGGTTTGTGTGGTAAATAAATGCATGTCCGTAGCTAGAGTTTTCCTGGTCCTGCCTGGCCCACAGTCAGGACAAATCTCTCTCACTCTCCAGTCCCACAGCTGCTCAGACCCAAACAAGTAAACACATAGAGACTTATATTGCTTACAAACTGTATGGCTGTGGCAGGCTTCTTGTTATCTAGTTCTTATATCTTAAATTAACCCATTTCTATTAATCTATAAGTTGCCGCATGGATTATGGCTTACCGGTATCTTTTACATGTTGCTTGTCATGGCGGCGGCTGGCAGTGTCTCTCCCCTCTGCCTTCTACTTCCTGGCAGGTGAGAGAGATTTGTCCTGACTGTGGGCCAGGCAGGACCAGGAAAACTCTAGTTACAAATGGTGCCCCATGTTGGGCGCCAGATATTGGTGAAATTATTAAGGCTACTCCACATAGTTAAAAGGGAGGTTTATTTTGTGGGGTAACTTACAAGTGAAGGGATAGGTTGCAGTGTCTGGGATAGGTGTGGCACAATCCAGCAGTGTTCTCTGGAAAACTCTGCTCGGTCTACCTTCAGTGTCCTGGGTCCAGGAACCAAGAGAGCCAGCCCATCCGGATCTTGGGTCTTCAGGATCCTCTCTTGGCTCCGCCTTGTAGGTGTAACAGTTACTGAAGCCTCAGTGGGGGTTGGAACTTCCAGATCAAAGCTGGAATGGATACCCACTACACATGTCCCTGAGTCTTCCTTGAAGGAAGACCCAAGAAAGCTACAGCAGTGTTGTTTGTGTGAGAGGCACATTGCAGGCAGGTGAGGAGAAGCAGGGCACTTTGAGGAACTCTTTCCCGTTGTTAGCCCACAGTGACTTGACACTCATGTGTGTAATGCAGGGTGGCCCCTACATGTCACAGTTCTGCCTCACCCTCTCCAGTGCTAGAATGACAGGTGTGATGCTCAGCTGCTTATTTTTTGTCTGTCTTTAGTAGAATTTGATTTTTAAACCACATCTGTCTTTAGAAAGCCACTTTGTTAATATATCATTTATGAAATTTTTACATAAGGAATAAAATTGTTGTATTGAAGACAAAGTCTTTAACTGATTCTTTCTGAGATAAGTTGATGAATGTTTAGAGGTTTGACATTTGGGTTTCGAAGAAATAGTCATTGAGATTTGAGTGGTTTTGATAAGTGACACATGCTGTTTCCATAGACAACAATTTGCTTTTCTATTGTAAATGACATTTCTGCTTGTTTCTCAGGCAACAGAAACAGATGTTAAAATCAGTGTGTGTACCCGAGCCTACCATCTACTTGTGGAAAAACTGGGCTTCAATCCAAATGACATCATCTTTGACCCCAACATTCTTACCATTGGTACTGGAATGGAAGAACATAACTTGTATGCTATCAATTTTATTCATGCAACAAGAGTCATTAAAGTAAGTCTGGGTATTTGCTGTCTTTACCCAAGACACAGCTCAAATTTATCACCTTGGTTTAGTGTGTGCTTAGAACTAACACATACTGATATGCTGAGAATAGGAACGTTCCTGTCCTTAGTTTTCTAAAATGTAGGGACTTTTATCTTTTATGTAATGCTATTTTAATTATAGTGTATAACACACATGACAATATAGAAAACATAGTCTGTAGTCTATAGTAGATAAGTAGTTATGAACCATATAGTAACTTTCACTTTTCTGAAGTGGCATGAGGCTACTGCCGCATCTCTTTTTCTGGGTATGCCTTATTCTCAATTTCATGAAGTAACTTTCATTCTGATATCTATGGTTCTGAGACTTCATTATTGTTTTTGGTAATACTTTTATTACTTATATGCATGTTTAGTTTACATTTATATCCATTGATTTTTGTGCTTGCCAGTGTATGCTCTAAAATTTAGTTTTGACCTGAGTCAGTACTCAGGCTGCTTTTGTAGTCAGCTGTGGACAAGTCTTGTGTAGGCTTGACTCACATCCTCAGATGAGGATGACCTTGGGGACAGTCAGCACTTACTCTGTAAACAGGTGTCTTATGAGTCTATTCAGTGCCCTTTTATGTTTTGCTTTTTGTTTGTGATTTCCCTGTTTGAAAATGCCCTTCAGTCCTGGTGCTAGTGCTTTTTAGTGTTCACAAGTGCAGAACACCTATGGTGTGTCTAGTAGAGAAAATGCTTGTTGAATAAGCCTCATTCAGACATAAGTCACAGGGCTGCTGGTCATGAGTTTAGTCTTAATAATTAAGATGTGCACGCCAAATAAAGTGTCTTTAAATATCTATTCATTTTTATTTATATATATGTATGTGTGCCTGGTTGGGTTTTTGTGTACTACTTATATCAAGTGCCCAGAAAGCCAAAGAGTGTTGGATTCCCTGACACTGGAGTTGGAGGTTGTTGTGAGCCAGTGTGGGTGCACTGTTGTCTGTTTACAAGAGCAGTTTGCACTCTTGACCGCTCTGCCATCTCCAGCCCATAGTATGTTCTCAACAGACACACAAAACAAGGCTGTATGTTGATGAGGTGAGAACATAGGACCAGAGGCTGCCAGCTGCTATGTTACTTGTGAGGACAGAACTATTAGGGAATTGCAAGAATTAGGTGTATGTCCACATAGTATAAATTGGCCACTTTTTGAGCTTAATGTAATTCAAATCATAAATTGCTTATGCTGTTTTCCCCCTATTCAGCTTCTTTTTTTTTGACCGGGTCTGACTATGTAGCTTAGGTTGGTTTAAACTTATCAGCCTCCTGCCCAACCCTTCTCCAGTGCCACCAGGCCCACATCAGCCTCGTTTTGAATTTCATTTGTATTGCTATGGCTGTATTTGTTCATTTTTCCTAGTGTATAATTATTTGCCTGAGCCACGACTAGCCATTTCACTGTTCAACAGTTGGGAACATTCTTGTATTAGGTTGGTGCAAAATTAATTGCGGTTTCAGATGGTAAATTTTAAATCACAGCTAGACTCAAACATACCTTCATTAATCAAAATAGGAACCATTATAACCAACTTGTTTTTACCAATGAGAAATAAATTTTTTAATTCTCTTAGCATAAAAAAAAAAATCAGTGTTTTACAGGCCGTGAAGATGGTTCAGCAGGTAAAGGCATTTGGTATCAGTCAAGCTGATGGTCTGTTCAGTCCCTAGATCCTACATAATAGGGAAGGTGAGAACTGACTCCTGCAAGTTGTATTCTGACCTCTTCATACACATTGGATTGTCTGCATACTGCTCCAAATACATACATACATACATACATACGTACGTACATACGTACATACATATGTACATACATACATACATACATACATAAATGTAATAAACACTTCTTTAAAAGTCAGTGCCTCAGGATTCAGTAACTCTTGGAAAGAATTTTCTCTGTCCTGCTGATTGTAGAAATTTTTTTCCTTTAAAAAGTTATCAGGATGATTGAAGAAATGGCAGTCTGTTGGTAAGTGATCAGGTGAATATGGTGGATAAGGCAAAGACTTCATAAGCTAGTTCTTGACTTTTGAAGCATTGGTTGTGTGATGTGTAGTCAAATGATACCATGGAGAAGAAATGGACCCTTTCTTTTGACCAGTACCAGCTGCAGGCATGCATAGCATAAAATAAATATTTAAAAAAGCAAGTAATAAATCATTAGCAAAAACCCCATAAAGCAGAACTGCATTTTTTTTTTCTTACCATAACCAAACTTACCAAGAATGTATTTCAACATTAAGGAACAAATTTCCACAATGAAACCTGCCATTACTTTTGCACCAATCTAACGTGTTAGGCCCATATGCCTGAGTTAAGCACATATACCTGAGTTTCTCTGTAGCTTAGGGGTGGAATGGCCAGACAATGGCAAGCTGTTTTCCTGACACTTAGGCCTGTGTTGAGAGTTACTGTTATGGCTAATGCTTGATATTGTATTAGGCATCTCAGTTGCCTTTGCTCTTCTGTATTTTGTTAAGTTGATGTTGAACTAGAGAGCTTGTTACTGAAGACTTCCGGCTTTGAAAGGCTCAGGAATGTATGCACATGCACATTTATAGATGCATGCACATAATCTTTTGCTTTCTGTCTCTTTTTCCCTTCCTGGTCATTTATCCAGCAAACATTTCTTGTAACTCATTTTCATGACTTATGATGGTCGTTATAGAGATAGAGGTAAAAATAGGATTTGATATTTTTCCTACAAAGGCTAAAGTCTATTAGGAAAAGCTACTTAGGAAGTACTTAGAAGTGACACTGTAAAAGGCGAGATATATCTATATAAACTAAAGAGGAACCAGATTACTTGACACAGTTACGTGGCAAACTGTTCTTGGCCTAGTAATAAGCTCAGAGTTATTCTGTACTTTTTTTTACTTCTCCTGTGTACAGAGCTTACAAGGTATGACTGATGGTGGCTTTTGACAAAATAAGAGAATCTTTTCATGTTTTTACACTTTTCCAGGAAACATTACCAGGAGTCAGAATAAGTGGAGGTCTTTCTAACTTGTCCTTCTCCTTCCGAGGGATGGAAGCCATTCGAGAAGCAATGCATGGTGTTTTCCTTTACCATGCCATCAAGGTATGGTGAAACCAACTTCAGTTTAGGTGCTGGGAAGATGGCTCTGGGGGTGGGTGAAGTGTTCGCTGTACAAAGCCCGAGGACTGAAGTTGAAACTTCACAGCCTCTGTGAAACTTAGTGTAGTAGTAGCTCCTACTGGTGAATGAGAGATGGAGGCAGAATCCTTGGAAGATTGTAGGACCAGCTAGCCTAGCATGTCCAGTGGTGAACAAGAGACCCTGTCTGAAACAAAACGAAAGGCAAGAGCCAACACCTACAGTTGTCCTCTGACCCCCATACATGTGCCATGGTACGTGTGTATCCACACACACACACACACACATATACATATGCACATACATTGTAAACACATGCAAGATCTTTCAAAGAATTGAAACAGAAATGATGGCACTGGACTTGGACGTACAGCAGGCTTAAAGACAGTCCTGCAGGATACCTGGCCTCTTCTATCTTTAAATGAAGCTTCAGTGGAGCAGAGTGCCCTCCTCCCTTCTCCTGTGTCTTGTCTAGGGCGCTTTTACACTACAGCAGTGCTGAATAGTGACCAGCTATATTATAAAGCATTTTTCTCTGATCCCCGATTTAGGATGTCAGAAAAAAGTCTCATTTTCCTTTATATTGCCCTTAGTTTGGTATGGACATGGGCATAGTCAATGCTGGCAACCTCCCTGTGTATGATGATATCCAAAAGGACCTTCTTCAGCTCTGTGAAGACCTCATCTGGAACAGAGACTCTGAGGCTACTGAGAAACTCTTACGATACGCCCAGGTAAAGGAAAAAGTATCCCAAGGGTGGCTTTCCCTGCCTTAGAATTTATCACTCACTGGTAGCTACTGGACCTTTATTGTAGAATAGGAAAAAATGTAGACTCGTGTCTCTGCATCATTAATCATCATTGTCATGGTTTTTATAGTGCTTTAGAGAAGGTATTGCAGTTAGGTCAAGGAGGGAGAAATAGACCTTGTCTAGATTGCTTTAGTATTCTGAACTTAGACTTTTCTAAATTGATTTTTTTTTTTTTTTTTGGTTTTTCGAGACAGGGTTTCTCTGTGTAGCTTTGCGCCTTTCCTGGAGCTCACTTGGTAGCCCAGGCTGGCCTCGAACTCACAGAGATCCGCCTGGCTCTGCCTCCCGAGTGCTGGGATTAAAGGCGTGCGCCACCAACGCCCGGCTCTAAATTGATTTTTTTAAGAGACCTTTTTTTCTTTCTTTTTTTGTTTGCTGCAGATAGTTCACTATGTATCATTTATACTTACTTTTTGGTCTTAATTTTAATTCAGACTCATGGCAAAGGAGGGAAGAAAGTCATCCAGACAGATGAGTGGAGGAATGGCTCCATTGAAGAGCGTCTTGAGTATGCTCTCGTGAAGGTGAGTACATGAGCCTGTACAGGAAGCCTGGTGACTCATGGCACCCTGGTGCCATTGCTGACAGCAGGTGGAGGGGGCGCTGCCCTAGACTTCTGACCATTGATTCCTAACCTGCAGGGGTCTGTTTCCCAGTGCCGTTTAACAGTGTCTAAAGATGTGTCCAGTTTTCACAGATGGGGTGGAAGATGCTCTGGAACTCAGTGGCTGCAATGCACAGGATAGGCTCACATACACAGCAAGGACTTGCCCAGGCAATTGTAGTTCTGAGCTTGAGAACCCTCTCTAAACCAGGTTCCTTTAGGTCAGTCAGCAGGACAGTAATGGCTCTTCCACAATAGATAGAATTTTAGGTAAGATATCAGTTTCCACATTTGTGAGCCTGGAAAATTCCAGAGTGTTTTTAAAAAAGGCTCTAGAATTTAACTTTTAATTCTTAGACCTCCTAAGAGTCTTCAGTTTTTGGACTATTCATTTGTAGCTACAATCCTTGAGTATCCTCGGCTTTAGAGGCTTGTCAGCAAAGGCCAGGCAAGTCAAGGGGAGAAAGTTCCATTTTTTTTTTTAAACGTCACCTGAGAGCCTTTCTAGTGTTCAATCCTGTTCTAGCCATTAGTGTCATATATAATAAGAGAAGATAACTGGTTTCTTTATTTATTTGAGACAGGATCTTACTGTGTGTCCCTGGCTGGCCTGGAACTCACCATGTAGATCAAGCTGGTCTTGAATTCACAGAGAATCTACTTGCTAGCGCCTCCTGAGTGCATCACCACACCTCATTGAGCAGATAAATACTGATTTTATAGAGATGCTTATTTACTAGCATATAATCAGTTGCTGAGGATTGATATCACACATGATATGCACCTACTTTACCACTGATCCTTCACTAATAGTGAAGTCTCACTAATACCTTTTTTTTTTTTTAGTTACTTCCTATTACTAGCTAGACATTGTAAATAAATGACATCACGGTGATTGTCAAAATAAACACAGGGTTGATACTATTGTGATTCTGTGAGGAAACAAACTTAATAAATACCTGCGTTAGTGATGAGAAGCAGGACTCAAACTCTGTCAGGCTGATTCTGGGATTTGTGCTCTTAAGCATCTCCCTGATTCTTTGATTTTGACCTTAATACAATGACTTGTTTGTTCCCCTCTCCCTCCTTTTTCTTTCTTTTTTTCTTTTAAGGGCATTGAAAAGCACATTGTTGAAGATACTGAAGAAGCCAGGTTAAACCAGGAAAAATACCCCCGACCTCTGAATATAATTGAAGGCCCTCTAATGAATGGCATGAAAGTGGTTGGTGATCTTTTCGGAGCTGGAAAAATGTTTCTACCTCAGGTTGGCAAAACAGAGACATTTTAACAAATCTCTTTTTCTATTTTTCAATAAATAGTGAGTTTGGGTATTTTCTGAGTTTTCAGTATAGGCAGAGCTTGACGGTGTTATCTGATCACTCCTCCTCTGGGTGTATTTAGGAACCATCTCTTGCCAGTCCATCTTAGAGTGTGTAGAGGTTAGAAAGCTTGCAGACATTCTTAATAATCTGCATGTTCTGAATTTCCATGCCACCTCTCACCTTAGTGCCTACCCAAGATAAGTGTAATGTTAATACTAACATTTGACTTGACAAGCCAGTAACCATCTTTAGAATGCATATTTTGAAAATATATTACTCTTTTAAATAGTGGGACTTAAAATGTTATTCTTTAAGTAAAAATAGAACTCTTTATTAAAGCAACTACTTAAAACTATCATTTAACAAATCCTTGCTGAGCATCTAGGTTAGGGGCTCTGAAGCATATAAAAAGCTAAAAGAGCCTCTTCTTTCATAAGCCTCAATTTTGAGTGAGTTAAAATCCTGGGGATAGAATAATGGTGATGCATCATGTTGAGACATGGAACTTAAAAAGACTACAGAATTCAGAGACACAGTAGAAGAACTTTAGGCAGCGGGGAAAAACCTACTAAGTGAAAGTTGAGAAACAGAAATTATAACCTTCGGTTTGTGTTTGGTTTTCCTCTTGCTGTGCCTCATTTATTGGTGTTCCCCTCAAGGATCTAATTCCTCATCTTGCTCACTGTAGAAATCTGGGACTGTTGAATTATGCATTCTTAATTGGTCCTGAAGCTTCACAGGTCAACAGTGGCAGTCATGTGATGGTTTGCTAATTATGCCTGACTCTGCTTTTGTCCAGGTTATAAAGTCAGCTCGTGTCATGAAGAAGGCTGTTGGACACCTTATCCCTTTCATGGAAAAAGAAAGAGAAGAAGCCAGAGTACTTAATGGTTCAGTCGAAGAAGAGGCAAGTCATTTTGTCCAGGCCTGGAGCCTTTTCAGGAGCTGGCCTGGAAGACTCTTGTTTTTGTGGGGCTGGGAGCCTCATCAGTAAAGCTTCATAAAAGTTGGTGCCTTCTTTCCACCTTTACTGGGTGAGCTCAGGCTTGAACTCAGGTCTTTAGGTTTTCACAGCAGATCTTCCCCTGCTGCATCATCTTGTTGGCCATGTTTGTGTTTTGAATGTATCGTTTGCTTTTAGAAAGCTCTTCCCCAAATACTCTTTGGTTGTACCCTTGGTACCACTTACAGCAGTCATCCTTGCTGACTACACCACCAGAGTCAACCACTAGGCTTTTTACTCTATTTAGAGCCCTGTGTAGTTCAGGCAACTTTGGTCCCTAGAACTCTAAATTCTTAATCTAAATTTGCAGTTGGCTGAATTAGAGAGATGATGCATGCCTTGTATACCTTTCCTTTCCATTTTCTTGTTTCATCAGTGTACAAAAGAACTGTTTTAGAAAAATAAAAGATGCTTCTACATTCCCTGCACTGGGCTGCTTTCAAAATTTGAGGGAAATCTGCAGTTGGCCAGTTCCTCCCTTGTAGCAGGCTTTCTTTTGGGCCACCAACCAGTCCCAAATTATGACATGGAGACTTAATATTAGTTATGAATGGCTTGGCCTTATCTTATGCTCGTTTTTAGCTCTTATAAATTTAACCTGTTTCTCTTCATCTATGTTTTGCCTCAGGCTTTTTTTTTTTTTTTTTTTTTTTTTTTTTTTT